AAACCTTCTGACCCTAGGAACCTCAAGAACTGGCCCCATCCGCTTTACGTTATCTTATTTCACAAGTTTCTCAAGTTATGCTTTTCAGCTGATATCCTTCCCCCAACTGATGTGCAAAGCAAAATAACTAAAATTTTAAGTAAGAGCAAGGAAATTACTAGGAAAATTAACCCCAAGCCTTGTTTAGTGCCCAACACTAATATACCTTTAAGGTTTTCAACTAAATAAAGTTGTCTGTCAATTTTGAGAATTTATTCATGGGGAATATTGTTGAAAACCTGAGGCTAAGACAAGGGCACTCCCACTTCTTTACAGTTTCTACACTTGAAGCACACTTCTGGGCTTCAAAACCCACAGATGAACACAGACAGATAAATTCACCCAGCACTGAAAAACATGGCACACAGATTGTCTATCACCATTTATCACCCAGTGGTTAATGTGAAACAGTTTGTAAAGTCAACTTCACTCATCACAAAGTCAACTTCACTCATCATTGTATGGATGCTTGGTAATTTGCATCAAAATTTTAGAATCAGTTCCTGACCCTTACACAGAATGAGGTGATCTCTTTACATTTCTACAGTCATTCTATCTTGACAGGGCTTTTAAATATCGGCCTTTCTAGACCTTCTAGATTGTTTGCAATTCTCTGCCTCAAACATAAACTCCACACACACCACACATACACCCTTCCTCATTCCCTCATTATGAGGCAAGTCCTATCTCAACCTGTCATTAAACAAGCCTGAAGTTTCCAAAAGAATAATGAGCAAGATAGCATGGGTAAGTGCATCACCATTATCTTCATCTCCTTAACTGAGGTCTTTCTATGTTTGTCATGGCAAACCACCAATCAGTTATTAGATAGCTTGCTATGATGTAAACACAATTAATACTTTACAATGAAGGCTTACATGAGTCAAATTGCATTTACAGTGAACCAGGAACTACTATTTATACTCACACAATCGCTAAACACAGGAAACATTTATTGCTGTATGTTTTTGCATCAGTGCCACAAACGGGAGACCACAAAGCCTGGCAGGAAGTCTTGTTTTTTTTAAGGTTGGCTAGAATTAGAATGCAGTTCAACTAAAAAGCAAAAAGGACAAGTAGGGTCATTTCAAGCATTGGTCTCTGTTTTTAGCTTTTCTCAAGCCATGAAAACCAGCTGTAAGGACAGATCATAGCAATTTAGTACTTGCAACTGGCCTCAGTTGGAAATGGAATTAGTACAGACAAATAGGATGATCTAATATGTCTGTTATAAAGCACGTCTGTGGTCCTATCCAATGTAGTCTCACACTTATAGTGTTCAGTTCCTGGTTGAGAGTTTGAAGCCCATAGGTAGAACCCCCTGTCTACCTACTGTACATCTAACAAGTCCCCAGTAAAATGAAACCAGTCATGTGATGTCTCCTGGTGGTAGCTGACAACACTACACAGAATACACATTGTGTAAAAATGAGGGTGAGGGTGGGGGTAGGGGGTGGAAGTCAGATAAAACTCAATTCACAGAGGCATGACATAATGTAGCATCTGTATCTCTGCTCTGAGTGCTTAAAGGAAGGTGGTCTGTATATGCCATTCTGAGAACATCTAAGATAAAAAGCTCTTAACATGAGCTGACTATCAAGATCTTTCTCCCGATGCAAATTTTTGATAACTAAAATGTTTTCAGTTGTTGGGCAACAATCTATGGCCTTCCAAATGTTGCTTAATTTCATCTTCCAGCAGTTCCAGCCAGCATGGCCAATGTGAGACATCCTGGGAGTTATAGTTCAGCAACATCTAAAGGGCACAGGTTCCTTATCCAAGGCGATTTTTGGGGTTAGAATTTGCTTTTACTGCTATAATTTTATGTAAGTGCACTTTTGAACGACCTGTGATTAATCTTTCAAACAAACACAGTGGAACTTATTTCCAATAAAACACTACTACTTACAGTTTTATTGTTTTTACTGTTTTTAATCCACTCAAAGAATTCTGGTTAGTAAGCAGCTAGGAAACATTTATTTATTTAATTAATTAATCTGTTTGTTAGTTAAAAGATTTGTATGGCCACCCATCTGAGAGCACAACTCTGGGCACCTCACAACAATCAAACTACAAAGCCATAAAACCATAAAACCAAAACTATACTACTGTACATAAATATCACACCTACAGATCCTATCAGTTCATGTATTAATGCTTTGCTACTATTTTTGATCAGCAAGTTTTGTAGCTTTCCTCCCCCGAACAGTGATTCTCAGTCCAAAAATCTTTGATCAATAATGCAGAAAATGTATAGAAATGCTATCAATTCATTCAGTAAACAGAATTAACCTCGTGTTTATCTTTGAAACAACTATTCCATTTTGTGGATACAAAACTCTGTCCTTCCAAGAAAAAATAAATCCTGCTGAAGTCTTGGCTTTCTGATTCCTCAGATAGTCAGCAACATAATTTGAAGCATTACATTAATCTCCACAGTCTGTCAAGTATGTGCCAGCTTTGCCTACATTTATACGCAACACTGCATTTGTACCAGCCTCAAGTCTCTGAAGAATACCTGTAATTCAGCTTTAAAATATATGCACAATGTAATGTAGCTGTTTGCAAACCCAAAAGTGCCAGTGGGGAAGAGATAATGAAATACATACAAAGTCATCACTGAACCAAAGTGATTACTGCCAGTCTTCTTAGACTTGTCTGATTAAAATGTCTTGAATTAACTATAAACTCAAAACTGCACATGTTGATCTGAACATGTAGATTAATACCTAAAAGCATTATATAGCAATTAAAGCCAGATGGATTAATAAATCTACCCACTAGTTTTTCCACGATCAATCTAGACTGCCCCCCCCAAACCAGTTGATCACATTGTAATAATCAATCAGCTTGAGTATTTCCCTGACCTTTCCTATTCATCGCATATCTGAGATCCCTGTTACTGGATGCATATGGAAGTATACAACAAGAATAGCTCACCTACACATCAACACGCCTGCTTTCTTTGTATCCAGATGTTATTCTGTGAAGAGCTTGCCTTTGACACAAGATCTGATGACTGAATAGTTGATAGAACTAATTTGATTCCAGTCACTAGAGGGCACCATGTCTCCTCAACAATGACAGTATCAACGTAACTCTTCTACTACGTATGGAACAGAATTGTGTGTCTATTTTTAAAGCTATTTTGTACTTAGGCACAAATGCTACTTTTTCTATAGCAACTCTGGAAACATGAAACACCAACTTTTGCTAACCTTACTAATAGTATACTGTCCAAATACAGGGCATTGTCTAGTGATAAACATTTATTCCATTATTGTATTAGGAATTGATTTTACCTTGTGGTAAACGACAGTGCCACTTTTCTTTCTGTTGCTAAAAGGTCCTTTTTGACAATTTGCACTATAATATGAAGAGTCTCCTGTCCTAGAGGAAATAATAAATACGTTTGTCTAAGTCTTTAAGAATGACATGGGGCAAAATAGCCAACTTATATCCAATGATGGTGTCACTGATGCCAAATGCTGATGTGGTCAAGATAGGTGCAAAATTGGACCTTAATCAAAACAAAAAGTTCCCACATGGTCTGTAAGAATTGGTGTAGAGAGTAAGGAAGTTGACCTTGACAGAGATACGCAGAAGCTATTGCCTAGGCAAAAGGGGCTGGAGCATGTTTTAAAATCCAGAATGGCCAGATAACATTTGGAAGTGGTTTAGTCAGATGCCTCCCTAATTCACTGAACTGTAAGAAGGAGGAGGAGGCATAACACAATCTGACTTGCAAAATTCTGTTATTATAGCCCGTCTCAATAAAAGTAGTTTGAGCCTTCCTATGGAGTTGATTTCATGGTCTGGTCTAGCAAGTGGGGCTGATGCCACCAAGCTTTGGTACCCGAAAAGGGAAACACTGAGGAACCCTAGCTCACCTGCAGGGTTGGGTATTGGGGCCCTGTGCTTCATTGGTTCTGCCCTGCCTGAGAGTATAGAACAAATCAATGCCTGTGGGTGAGGAGAGTTCAGCCTTGTGTGGTCCCTCAGCACTGGATCCTCTTCCCTCTGCTGTTGAATATCTATAGGAAACTACTGAAAGAGGCCACCTGTCAGGTGGGGCAAGATACCATCAGTACACTAAGGACCCTCAGCTATACATTTCCACCTCAAGCTGAGTTGGAGATGCTATGAAAGTCTTGAACTGGGATTCGGAGGCAGTTTGGACTCGGATAGGCCGCAGTTCCTATTAGTGCAGAAGGGATCACTGAGGTTAACTCATGAAGGGGTGGCTCTCTTTCTGGAAAAGCAAGCCTACCACATCTGTACTCACAGTTCCTGCTAGATAGGCAGGCAGAGTCCATGGCCAGGGAGGCCTTTGCCACAGTGACTCTCTGTTTGGATCACGGCAACGTGCTCTACACGGAACTACCGCAGAAGCCCCGCTCGGGGACTCTAACAGGTCCCAGATGCAGAGGCCAGTATGTCAGCAAATCAAAGGCCTGCTTTACCATCCCTGCACTGGGGTATGATGCAAAGTGCTGGTATTGGTCCACATAGAGCTCTATATGGCCTGGGATTGAGGAATTTACAGGACTGCCTTCTCCAGTAAAAGTCTGTTCAGGCCCACAACTTTAATGGTTCCCCACATGTGTGAGATGAAGGGGGCCAGGGGGTCACCCCCATATTATGAAATACCTCCTTCTGGAAATTAAGCTGGTGGCCTCATTGTTGGCCTTCTGGAAGTTATGTTGTTGTGGGGAATATAGGAAGAAGGAGCATTGTGTATACTGCCTTGAGTTGCATGAAATAAAGGTGGGAAATAATAATAATAATAATAATAATAATAATAATAATAATAATAATACAAAAAAGTCTGGAT